GAAGCATGTTAAGTGAAACTGGTATTTTCTCCAGGCAGCTAAATGAAACCATAAGCCCTGGGGAAAAGCCAGGATAGCATAGAGATCAGTAGTACTTCAGCACCATCTATTGGCATGTTATCAAATGTGTGTGTGAACTGCCACATTAATCTTTTTTAAAGGGCTGGCAAAGAAGGCTTTTTGTTTGTTTTTGAATACAGAACATTCGAAATGCAAATTAGTGTATTGATTAGGGCTGTGCAAAGCTTTGAGCTAAGGGTCTCCTCAAAGTAGATTTTTTTTCCTTCCTAGCATTTTTCCCGCATGTACAGGATCCAGATCAACTGAATGTAGAATTGACCGACCTGCTTGTTGCCTGAGCCTGTGAGGCCAACAGAGAGTGGCTGGCCCAAAGTCACCCAGCCAGTTTTCATGCCCAAGGTAGGACCAGAACTCACAATCTCCTGGTTTCTAGCCTGGAGCCTGAACCACCAGATCAAACTGGCTCTCAGTCTCCTCAAAGAAGGATAACCAGATGTATTGGTGCTGCTGGGATGGTCCCAGAATTGGGAGACGTGGCCTGGGGACTAGGCATGTACCGTAAACCAAGCCAATATCCTGGTTTGTGGAAGTCCATCATGGCCACTCAGCAGCGGCAGCAATGCAAACAAAAAGAGATTTTAGTCACAAGAGCAACCACAGTAGCAGCAACAGATGCACACAAGTAACACTATCAGGAAACAACTTCTATATTCACAACTCATTGCACCTGGGGCTACCATTTCTAGCTTGGGCTGCCTTAAGTTGAGTGTTATGGATTTGTGATGGGTGGGAAGCAGACAATGGAGAAAGGATATCCCCTCTCTGTTCCTCATTCCCTCAACAGCAGCAGCAGCAGCAGTTTGGCGCAGGTGCTTGGAAGTGGAGGAAAGAGGCAGGGAGGCAGGAGAGGAGGGAAGGCAAGGGAACCTGAGATTGCCATGGTGGGAATGGTTTGAGGGAGAACTTTGATTGTTGAACAAGGTTCTGGTCTCTCTGGCTGGCCATGGACGGGTGGGGCTGGTGCTGCAGCAGGCCTACTGGTCACCAACTTCCTTCACGCTATTCTTCCATGTAAATGTTCATATAACAGGCTTCTGCTTTCTCATAGAAAACATCACTTTCCTGCTGAATCAGTTTAATTGTCAGCCTCCCTTAGCAGTAGGCTAACCCTCAGTAGAAATCTCCAATGGGAGAGTTTATCCTCAAGAAACAGTAAATGGGCTGTCTCAGAGCAGGGGCAAGAGGGCTGTGTGGATGAACCCTAAATCACGGACAAATTAGGTTTTATTACAAATGGACCTGGCAAGACTTTACCAGCAAGACTGTGAGATTAAAGTCACTAGAGATCCAGGTCCCTGGACCTAGGAATGAAACAAAGTTTCTGGAAGTAGAGACTGAAACCAAGTTGTGGTCTCTCTTCCCCTCTAACAGATTTTCCCCAGTCACAATCAAAATCTGCTTACCTCTATTCCCCACCCCCCACCACAAGCTAGCCCTTACCTTCTCATGACAAATTGCCATTTGCAGAGTCTCCCACAAGGTTACAGCCCCACAACTTCCTTCTATCATCAACCACCCACCCCTCCAACCTTCAACATACATATGTCTCCAATTCCACCTCCACCCATCTTCCTACTGTTGTATTACCTTCCCTTCCCCAGCACCATATTCCAGTCCTTCAATAATATTTTCTTCCTCATCATCCACCATCAGACTTCCCAGTCTTTTTAGTCCAATTCACCACTTTCATCCATCAAGATTATCTGCTCTGTTTTCTCATTTTATGTTGATGCACCAAAGCCCCATCACTCCAACCACAAATGACAATAACTCCAGGTAAATTCTAGTGAACCCAAAAGCAAAATGAATCCAAAAGAGATAAAATAGCAAACTTAACAAATCAGATAAACTCAGTACAGAGTATTTTCCAACACAGAGACAAATATATCACTCAGGTGCAGTCAAGACAAGGAAAAGGACAAGGCAAGTCCTTCCTGGGTTGAGACAGGGCAAGTTGTAAACTTCAATAGTTTTACACCAAAGAAATCCTGCTGATGACACCATGGCACAAGGAACCTTTCTGTTGATTTCTCCCTCCGCTTGCTGCTCTGGCCCCATCTGCACTAAAAAATTGGGAATATCCAATTCAGCACCATTTGTAACCCTGGAGCTGCAGGGAAAAGGGGAAAAATTGTAAAACTATCTATGAAATCCACTTAGAGATTGTTCCTTGAAGTGGAAAAGAAATCTATGTCCAAGCCCATATAATCAATCAACATATTTTCATCATCGTTACCATTGGTAAGACACACTGTAAGATGCAGGGCCATTATAATGTGAGTTTCATAGGCAAGCAGGGGTTGGGAAAGCTTGCTTGCCATACCCAACCCACTACATTGTCATTTGGGTGACATCCTTTTCTCTGTTCTTCTAACAGCTATGAAACTCACTATGTTTTTTTCCAAGGAGAAGACACACTTTGAAAAGCAGCTTCTTTTTTATTATGACAATGCCCATGTTTTTTTCTGATACTAAGGTTCTGGGGATAAAAATCCAGGTAAACTCGAATGAAGGCCAACTTGAAATCACTGATACCATGGCTCCATTTCTTTATACATAAAAAGAACATTTCAGGGATACTAAATGAAAGTGTTGCTGGAAGCATCTTTCTCTTTCTTGCTCTCTCCTCCAGTCTCTTTCTCAACAGAAATTAATGGAGAATTCAGTTTCTTCAAGCACGGATTTGAGCCAGATATTCTTTTATTAGAATATATTGCTAACCAGCAGAACAGCCTTAATTTTTACAGTGTTATTCCAGAAGCCTCAAATTCTCCGAATTTGAGTCAGGCAGGTAGATATCTATGTTACAGAAATTGCCAGGCTACATCACATATACAGAATCTCAGATCTGTAGTTTGAAAGAAATCAAGGCTGATTTGCATATACTTAACTTGAAATGTACTGAAAAACAATGAGCAAAAGCATATAAAATCAACTGCATCATTTCTATTATAGCAGGGTGATAGAATGTACAATGTAATATACATGCATAAAAGTAGCATTATAATGACTATAAGTTCCCAGTTTGTAATCTTCTTACAAATAATGTTTAGTGCATTTATTGGCTGGGTATAATTCCAATGATAGGAGAAAGGCATGTCCTTAGCTTTTCCTGACAAATATGTCCTGTCACACTGTGACACTAGAGGGCAGGCAAGTATATCTTTTGCATCAGTGAATTTCACAATGACAAAGATTACAATAGATCAAGAGTTCCTAATCTTTGGGGGCTGACAGGAATCTTTAGAATCTTGAAAACAACTGGGGGCACCCTGATCAATTTGGGGCAGAAGGCTTACCCTTTCACTAAATGAAGGCATCATCAGTTACAAAGCATCAATTTATAAAATGACACCTCCCTCACTTCCTGGCTGATATGCCCTACTAACCCTGCTTACCTCTGTCTTTTTTCTGAGCAAGTGGACGCAACCCCAGATTCAGCACTGGACAGCATCAACTCACCATTTTTATTTTCTAAAACAAGTTTATGGAAACCCAAGATGTTCCTGAAAATAAAGAAGATAAAGGACTTGATACTTTGCTTTGCAGCATCCTCCTCACCTCTCCCCACCCCTTTTTCTTTTTTTAACTAAGTTGCAAAAAATCAAATAGAGCAAGAAATCTGGGAATATTTGCAGATATAATGCCAAGCCCTATATGCCAAGTTGCTGGACATCCATCTGACAATGTAACAACATTCAGGCCAGTAAACACCAATGGAATTAAGGTGATTTAAAGACAGATGACAACTACTTAAAAAAAAAAAAGAGACATGACTAGATTACCAATTAGGAGAGAAAAAAATCCTCCCCATTCTATATAAGAGAGTTGGTATTTCAAAGCACCTTGCATTTGTACCTTTCTCAGCTGGACAACTGCCAAATGTGCTGTACTACAAGGTCCATTTTTCCAGCAGGCTCATAGAAAGGGGGACTCATACCACGGCAAACTGGGCGGGGCAGGGGGGAATCAGGTTAGGGAAGACTGCTGTATGGGATCAATTTTTTTTTTTAATAAGTGCTATAAAACTAGCGTTTTTTAAAAGTGTATTTTAATACTTTTTCCTTTTGATTTCTATCAGTTTGGTGAGAGAAATTAACAGTAAGGTTGGCATAACCTTTCCTTCTACATGCCCTCCATATGTGCTGTATTTACAGCTCCCAGAACTCCAAGCCATCATGGCCAATGGGAATGCCTGGGCTTTCTGGAAGTTGTAGTCCCAACGCATCAGGTGGCCATGAGGTTGGGGAAAGCTGGAGAAGGGAAAAACCATGGTGTTTCTTCTTGATCTGGTGTTACCTACCATCTTAACTGAGATATTTTTTATCAGAGGTGGTGTAGGCCTGGCCCTCCAGATGGTGCTGAGCAGTCACAGCCAAAGCTGGAGATTACTGGGAACTGTGATTCAACACCGCTGGCAAGGACTGTGATCCTTGTCTGTGGCCAACTGGCTACCCACCCCTAAGCTTGGTTTCTGTCAAAGGAAGTTCTATGACCTTAGTGGAGTTGCAGTTGTAATCTATGGGAAGGTCTTCCGGTCCCCATGGAAAATTGGAGCATAAAACCGCCCCTTTGATGTTCTTCGCTTTCCTCTTGTTCAGCATCTTGGCGATCTTTGAGTTCCCCGAAGCCTGTTGCTGTGGCTGTTGCTCAAGCCAGGGGAGCTTCTAGGTAACACGTTCGTAACAAATTTCCCTATATTGCATCTTCGAGGCCGAAGAGTCTGTTCGGCCAGAATTCCCTTCGCCTGTTTTCACACGCGGGGCGATTCCAGGACCACTGACCTCCCTGCACTGCCGAAAACCTTTGGCTCCCAACACGCGGCCCCGGGAATCGCGCCTCTCTCTCCGCTTGGGTCTTGGGCGCCGGGCCGAGGGAGGGAGGGAGGGAGGGAGGGACGGGGTTCGCCGTCTTCACGCATGGCTCAAGACCAGGGAGCTGTCATCGTGGTGGACACTGACAGCGATCGCGAAGACGCGTCCAGTTTCTCGGGGGCAGGTGAGACAAAAGGCTTCCCGGCGGGGCATATCAACCCCTCCCTTCCCCGGTGGCCCACGTAAAACTGGGAAGGCTCCGAACAGCAGGGGAGATGGAGCAACGCAGCAACCTACCCACACACACACTGAAAATAGCGATGCCACAAACCCAGACAAAATCATTCGGAGGAAGCCAGAGAAAACCAGTGTCAACCTGCTGGGCGAGGGAGAGCCAAAATTCCTAGTAAGGCAATGCCTATTTTAGGTCAAGGCAAGATTTACAAATAGTCCAGAGTCTTCATAGCAGCGAGGAGCTGAGCGGGTTCCCTAGCCCAACCGCCGCAGGGATCCAGGAAAGTACCGCCCACACCCACTTGCTACCCCGTTTGAAAACCTCCAGGGCGGGGACGCCCCCGCTGTTCCAGCAGGCTGTTCCAGCAGGCTGTTCCGCAGCTCTTATTAGCAGGAAGCGCCGGTTAATATTCAGATTTCTTTCTTTTCATTTTGACTTGTCGGTCCTTGTTCTGCTCTCAGTTTCAGCAGAGAACAGTCCCGTTCTCTCTTGCATGTGACAGCTTTTTGATATGTATAACCACTATTTATATAGAAAAACACTTAGCTTATTTGATTTTCAGGTATTTAACCTGTCATTTTATTTTGTTCCTTATTTTTATTAAGCTTACGAACAAGTTTTTTTTTAATTTCACTTTAGCCTTTGACCATACATTTATAAATAAATCAAGATAGACCTATCATATCTTCCCTTTGTCTTCTTTTTTTGCAGCCTTAGCACACAAGTTCCTCATAGAGCTTAGTTTCCAGATCCCTTTTCAACCTGGAGCAATTTTCTGATACTTGACCCTGTTTTCCCATGTCCCTTTTCAAATGTAGTGCCAAGAACTAGGCACAATACTTCAGGTGCAGTCTAACCAGTGCAGAGTAATCTAACCAGCGCATGGACCTGTTACCTCCTGCAATTGGGTTACATCACTGCTGTTAATGCAGCCCAAAGATTGCACTGGCCTTCGGGGTGACTACTACTTGCTTCTGTACGTCTGATGGTCCACTAATACTGCTAGATTGTTCTCACACACATTGTAATCAAGCCACGTTTCCCCAGTCCTGTGTCTATGCATTTAATTTTTCTTACCAAGATGTAGGACATTATACGAACACAGTTCAATAGCAAACATGGGGAAGAAATCACAGTTGACAGAGCCAGTAGTATTTCCAGAGAGGTAATGTCCTGGAGACTAGCAGAAACTTTCCACCTCTCTGTAACCTAGAGCCAGCTCTGAGTGCTTGAAGATATGCACCATCCTATAGGACAGTGTTTCTCAACCTTGGCAACTTTAAGATGTGTGGACTTCAACTCCCAGAATTCCCCAGCCAGCATTTTCACAACCAACTAATTCAACTAATCTCTGAGAAGTGTTACATTCTTACAACCAACAGTGCTTTATCTAAGAAGACCATGGAGTAAATATCTTAAACTACTATATAATGTAAGTAATTTCTCCTATCCCATTATACTTTTAACTGTATCCCTAGGGACCTACAGTTATGATCTTGAGATTTCTACAAGTTCTGTGGAAGAAGTAAGCACCTTTAAGTTAAGCAAAGGTAATATCTCATTTTGGGTTTTTTTGCTTTTCCCAAGAGGAATTAACATTTCTTCTGCTTGGTGCACCTTGAGCAGCAACTGACCTTTATGTCCACAGGCTCTGAGTATATTGACTGCAGTTTTGCACTATAGGTAGCTCTTATTTAGCAACCACAATTGGGACTAGCAACTTGATTGTTAAGCAAAGCAGTCGCTAAGTAAAACCACAACGGTGCTTATGATCTTACTTCAGCTTTCCTTTGCTTTACAGACTTGTGAAGGTTATAAATGTTAGGATTGGTTGCAAAGTTACTTTTTCATCACTGTTGTAACTGCAAACAGTTGGTAAATGAGGCAGTCACCAAACAAGGACTACTTATGCAGTGCAACATGAAGCAGAAAGGCCTTTTGACCTATAGGAAGAAACTGTGAGAAGCAGAAGTGTCCATAGGGGGTGGCAATAGAAGATAAATGACAAAAACAGCATTGTGTTGCTATTATTATTCTGCACTTTAATGGTGAGGAGTATGAGCCTGGGATCTGAAAGGTCCTTCTCACTCAGGGCATAAAAAAAAGTTATGCTATTTTACTGAATGTCGAAAAACAGTTAACAGACATTCTATTCAATGTACATTTTACACTGAATTAGAGGCTAATTCAAGTGGAAACCAATTCAAAAGATCTATATGAAAAATGCCCTAATTCTTTTTCCATAGAAAATATCGCACATGAAGTGAAATATAATGAGAGGCATATTGAAGATGACATATTAGGGTTTTATTGATGCAATTGTTATTTTCATTATTATTTTTATTTTTATGAATTGCTGTTAATAAGGTATCCTTCCTCAGTCAAATGACTTCCAAAAGATGTTTTAGGATTACAGCTTCAAGAGCTATAGTCCTGACTCCTCCAGACAGGACTAGCCCTTCCCCAACCTAGGTTGTAAGTAAATTGGTATAATGCAATGTTCATTTAATTATTCATTTCGGTCAAAGATTTTTGAGGAAATGAGAAAAAATACTTAATCTTTGCTAACAAATTCTGTAGTTCATTTAATCACTCCTGTATCCCCACAAGTTATAAATCATTGCAACACAAAAAACTTAATTCACTTTTTCTGTTAGCTGCCAAATTTCCCCTGCAAAATATTGAAAAGCTAAAATTCATTTTCTTTGGTTCCCTTATATGGAAAAGAACGGGAAACAGCATTGGCTAAAAAAAAAAAAAGATACAACAGCAAAGAGACCTGAAGTTCCTCTGACAAAGGATGGTTTTATTCAAAAATAGTCTCTGTACTTTATATGTTGATAGATTATTTGACCTATATAGGTATTTTTCTGGGTATAAATACACTTTTGCATTTGTTCTTAAGATTATAAATGCATACATATTCAAACAGTATCGCATTTTTATCTCTTTTTAAATACATATTATCTTCTTTTTTTAACAGTTGAATGATGTTCAATGTCTTAATCCAATCTCCCCAGTCTGTATCCTTCTGTTAGATGGCAACTCCCATGATCAAATCACAGAAATCTATAGCATTGGTTACTGAAAGTTAAATCTTCCTGGTTTTGTTTTGTTTTGTTTGAAGATATTTGTTTATGCTGTGGAGTGCTTGAGATTCACACTCAACATTCCTTGTTTCATGGAGGAATGTGTGCTCCTTCATTATCAATCCTTCCAATGAGCAGTCAGGGTTGATTTCCTTTAAGATTGACTGGTTTGACCTCCTAGCAGTCCAGTCAGGGTTGATTTCCTCTAAGATTGACTGGTTTGACCTCCTAGCAGTCCAGTCAGGGTTGATTTCCTCTAAGATTGACTGGTTTGACCTCCTAGCAGTCCAGTCAGGGTTGATTTCCTCTAAGATTGACTGGTTTGACCTCCTAGCAGTCCAGTCAGGGTTGATTTCCTCTAAGATTGACTGGTTTGACCTCCTAGCAGTCCAGTCAGGGTTGATTTCCTCTAAGATTGACTGGTTTGACCTCCTAGCAGTCCAGTCAGGGTTGATTTCCTCTAAGATTGACTGGTTTGACCTCCTAGCAGTCCAGTCAGGGTTGATTTCCTCTAAGATTGACTGGTTTGACCTCCTAGCAGTCCAGTCAGGGTTGATTTCCTCTAAGATTGACTGGTTTGACCTCCTAGCAGTCCAGTCAGGGTTGATTTCCTCTAAGATTGACTGGTTTGACCTCCTAGCAGTCCAGTCAGGGTTGATTTCCTCTAAGATTGACTGGTTTGACCTCCTAGCAGTCCAGTCAGGGTTGATTTCCTCTAAGATTGACTGGTTTGACCTCCTAGCAGTCCAGTCAGGGTTGATTTCCTCTAAGATTGACTGGTTTGACCTCCTAGCAGTCCAGTCAGGGTTGATTTCCTCTAAGATTGACTGGTTTGACCTCCTAGCAGTCCCTGTGTATTCTTGCCACCTCTTCTTAATCTCTTCTGCTTCTGTTAGGTCCCTGCCTTTTCTGTCCTTTTATCATGTTCATAAATTAAGAATATACATGTGATTGGATACAGCAGCAAGGTATTTAACTGGGTATAGACAACAGCAAATATTTGATTGGATCATGTACACAGTGAGGTCAATGAAGTCATATGGGTGTAACTATGAGAGAATGGGACAGGACTATAAAGCCAGTGGGGTTTAGAAAGGAGAAAGGGGCAATATTTCATGACCGGTTTCTTTTTAGGGAGTTACTTTTGCTTTCCCAAAGCTTATCAACATTTCTTAGCCTTCTAAATATTTTATGGCTGAGCTGACATTTTTGGTTTCCTTTTAGGGAATTTCCTTTTAGGGAATTTCCTTTTAGGGAATTTCCCTTTAGAGAAAGCCTTTAGGGAAAGTGTATTTGGTGTATTTGAGTTAGGGGCTTTTAGCCTGACCCCTAACATTCTCCTTCAGTATTTTCTTTCTTTCTTTCTTTCTTTCTTTCTTTCTTTCTTTCTTTCTTTCTTTCTTTCTTTCTTTCTTTCTTTCTTTCCTCTCTCTCTCTCTCGGCTGGCTGGCTGTCATCTATCTCTATCATCTATCTATTTTGATATCATTAAGATAGTATGGTATCCTTCAGGACTCACCCTGGGGGTTGGGGATGGGGGGCATTGTGTCGTGTGCCTCTCCTTTCTGAGGGGGTAGTTCAAGTCAGTGTGGAGGGGAGCAAGAAGTTGAATCTCAGGCCCCTTAAATATCAAGAGTCACAGGACATGGGGCTTTCTCCATTTCTATTCAGCATAGACATGAAACTATTGGGAGAAGTCATCTGTCAACATGGGATCAGGTGTCATGATACCCAATTTTATATCTTGATCCTGGGTCAAAAAAGCAATGTGGCTGAGGTGCTCTGGTGCCTAGAAGCTGTGAAATGTAGGCTCAGTCCCAGCAAGACACAGTAGCTTTGGGTTAAGAAGCTATCTCACTCCAGGGATGCTCCATTTTTAGTTCTGGATAGAATCATGCTTCTCCTGCAAAACTTGAACATAACTTGTGGGTTCTTCCTGACTGTCAGGTCCTACGTGAGGAGCAAGTGGTAGCTATAGCTATAGCAAGGAGGCCTTGGCATACTACCATCTGGTGTGCCAACTACCACCCTTCCTGGAATGGGAGGTCTTCTCTTGGTTACTCATGCCTTAGTCACTTTTCATCAGGATTATTGCCATGCACTCTATATGAAGTGAAAACAATATGATTTTTTCTCCACTACATTTTGTGTGTGGCTCTTGCGTGCTATTCAAAACCCTGCAGGTGAGGATCCCTGCTTTAGCAGAAAACTCTATATGGGACTGTCCTTGAAAACCACTTGGAAGTTACAGCCAGTCCAGAATGCAGCAGCTCAAACAGGGCTGGGTACTTCATAATCTGCCCATGGAATATCACTACTTTAAGAGCTCCACTCTTACTAGTTTTCTTTTGGGGGCAATTCAAGGAACTGGATGTTACCTTTAAAGCCTTTTGGGGTTCTTCAGTGGGATATATTTGGGATTGCCTTCTCCCAGTTGGTTCCGCTTGTCTAACAAGATTGAATAGAAAAGGTTCTCTTCAGGCCCTTCAATCAGATCCCTTTGCTGAGAGCTCTTGGAGGCAGGCCACCAAATGTTGCCCTCCTTCTTTGGAATAGCATCCCTCCCAAAGCCATAGGTTTGCTGGGGTTAAAGGCCATTAAAATCTACCTTAGCACTAGAAATCTACCTTAGCACTAGAAATGTTATGAACTGTTCCCTCTTGTAATATGGGGTTGAAATTGAGCCATTAAACTGTCAGTTGTATCATCGTATTGTGTTATTATTGATACATTTTAAAAACTTAATTAGCATAAAGTACCTAATTAGCATAAAGTAGCTAAGTACCTAGCATAAAGTACCTAAGCTTAATTAGCATAAAGTACCTACTTATGCTAATCAGATTTAGTACTGATTAGAGTGACATGGAAACCAGCCAAACCAACAAAAGATGTGCTATTGATGTAAGAATTAATTTGATCCATAGGTGCACTGCTGTTGCAAATATCAGGAGGCTGGCCTTAAAAAAAGATAACAGTACTTAACTGAAATTGTTATTTTAACCATTCTTTAAATGTTAAATGTTCTAACGTTATGATGTTGAAAGACAGATAATTACATCACTAGTTAAATCAGTCATCAAATGCAAAGTTATAGTCAGGTGATACAAGATGCCAGAATATTTGATTCTGATGGTCTTACCAAGAGCCATATGGAATACTTCATGATGTGCAATAATGATACATATAGCGGAAATTTGAATGTTGGACCTGAATCACTACTGAAAAATAGTGATCTTTAAATAAAAAGGATTCCAAGGCTATAAAATTAGATCTTGGGAATAATTTGTATTCCTTAAAAATAAGACTAAAATTGCACATCCAGTAGATGCTAGCTGAAGTAGCAATAGAAAGAGCCAGTTGAAATTATCAGAGGTATTGGTATTATTGTTAATACTTGTTTAGTATTAGTAGTCATTTACAGCATCACTGGAAATGCCTAACAACCCCAGTATTATTCTTAGGTAAACTATAGCCAAGCTTCATTTCTTGTCTGTAAAACAAGGCTTTAGAAATTTTAGCCTATTTTAAAATGCTGCTTTATGAATGGCTGAAGTGTGTGCCTGTGTGAACTACCATTAAACAGTATTATGAATTAAGTTCATACAGCACACAGTATATAGTATTATTAATTAAAATACTATTATAAATTAAGTTTTTGGAGAAGTTCTTCCTCTGTGGTGATGATGGGTACCAAGCTGACTGTACCATCTGCTGCTAGGACACCATGATGGCTCTAATAATGTTGATGATTCAGCATGTCACAGGTGAGCAATATCCAAACTCTACAAATGAAAGTTTGAAATGCTACCAAGTGTGAAGCTGAAGAAGTCTTTGCATTGCAATAAGACTTAAAAAAAAAAAAAAAGGATAAAACTTTCCTTTACTCCATTTGGTCTGATGGTGCATACTGTATCTTATATATTAAAAATCAAAATTGGTAGTTGCCATTAGGATTACAATAACTCAGCAACTATTTAAAGATATGGTCCCCTCTTTCTTAGGAATTCTGATGATGGTGCAATTGTGACATTAATGCCAGGACTGACTTTCTGCAATCAACTTGTTGACAGTGTTGGTGGTACAGTCCTTTTTAGCAGATACACACATATCATGCTTCTCCCAAACCCTTCTCCTGTTTTCTGGGATGACTAATGGAAAGCTGGACATGACAGTAATAGTAATAGTTTTTACAGATGCTTAGTACTCCACCTTAATTGCTGTCCTATCTATTTAGCCAAATTAACGGCATGAGACCTCTAGTTTCTGCTGATTTCTGTTCCTTTTCCATTCATATCATAATGTTCATTTATTTTAATAGTTCTGCTTCTTTGCCTTTTTCAGCAAAGTGACATAAATTAGAAAGTGGTGCTCTTCCTGATCGGGAGGAAACCATCAAGCAAAGAACCATTTACTGATCTTTGCAATTAAGGCTATTACTAAAACGTATTACCTATCCAGGCCAGTTTTCTTGGCAGTTAGTAACTCTAACGCAGATAAAAACTGTATAACCTCCAGATATTCCTGAACTATGAGTTTAGGAACATCAGGTAGCACAGGCAGCGACTTAGTTTGTGTGCTTCATCCCTGACCTGAGCCATACTAAGGCCTATGCCACATTTACATAAAGTTTTGTAATAGACTTTAGGAGCCTTTTGTATGTTCTTGAATAGTCAAATGTACAAAATACCTCAAATGTATTTTCACAGCATTTCTTGGGGCAAATAAACTGGCTATGTTCTAAAAAGGCCAGATATATTTAACAGAATGCATTGTGCTTCAGCTGTTCATCAGGGAACACAAACAGAAACATAGTAATTTGTGCCTTTAAACAATTTTATTTTTAAATTTTATTTAGATGCTTTTGTGAAGAATGTGTGGATATTCTTGTTTATCCTGGGCATGCAGAGGAAATAAAAGAAACAAGTCCCTGGATATGCCTCATGTGTGCACCCCAGGGTGTAAATGGATTGCTAAAGAGGAGAACAAAATGTGTGCGGATCTGAAACATTTCTATGATCAAGAATCTGTAAGGGAAAGCTCAGTTGTTCAAGTATTGCTTGGCTTTAAATTAACTGAGTAAATTTTCTACAGGATATTGCACAGAATAATCAGCTAAATGAACTGATTTTTGACAGGGATGCTGTTCAGACAGAAGGCACAATCATTGTGTTGCCAGCAAATGATATAAATGTACAAAGCTGAACAAATTTAAAACATGCTTCATTTTAAGCAAGTGGCAGCACACTCTTTCAGCTGACACTTTACAAACTATAAACTCTGGCCAGATAGATGTCATAAGTTCAACAGCAAATAGGCATTATTACCCCTTATCTCTCCTCTCTTATCCATTCCCACTTCCTGTAAACTCTTTTACTTATGAGTTTTGGACATCTAGAAAATGTTTGCATTTTTGTGACTTCTGAATTTTTGTAATACAGTAAATGTTTAGCATGACTATGGATGTTTAAATAAAACTGCTTATTTGCCCCATATATCAACAAAAACAAGCCAACTTCCTTGATAGCCTTCTGTTGCTTCTCATCCTTTTCTGTCAACCAAAAAACTATTGTCACCAAAACAATAGCATACCAGAACATCCTAAAAATGTTTCAATACAACATTCTGCGCACTAGCACCGACCTGCCTGATTGTCCCAGATCCAGTGGTGTGCTAATAAATGTACACCAACCGGTTCTGCCAGTTCCATTGCTGCTGCTACACCAGACTGCGAACCACCAAACAGTTGATCAGTGTACTAGGCATCATGGCTCAGCTCTGCTCTCAGCTGGCTCATAAAATTCCTGAAAATTTAACAATTGGCTCTCATGAGCTGATATCAGCTGGCTCCAGCACACCACTGCCCAGATCCCATCATGAAAAAAAAAAAAGGCAGAGAAAAGGAGCCAGGACAGCTGATAACTTTACTGGTCCAATCAGAGTAGATAATATTGATCTAAATGTACAATTAATGTTATCTTCAAAGAAAGGGCAGAATGAATGATCTAAAGAAGAGCTCTAAACCCATCAGTTGAAGGGTCAATCAGTAGACATGTCTGATGAATCTTTAGCAAATCAGGGAGGTTTTGTTGTTAATTGATTTCTTTGGATTATTCCTAGTTTTGAGATGTCAGCTCTCAAAACTCCCTCAGTCATAAATAATCATACAAACTGACAAATGTTCCCAACGTTGAATTTCAGATCCCATGAGGCTTAGCCATTGTAGCTAATGGTGAGGAGGGAGGGGGATTGCAATCTGAAATTTGTATGATGCTCATCTCTATTGTTGTAACATCTTTCACTACAAATCATGTACTGGGCAGAGGACAGGATTAGATGATCTTTTAGTCGTTTCATGATTCTGTCACCCAGTAAGCAGTAGGACTATGCCTCGGTTAGGAGCCTGCCTCCTAAAAATTTCCTGTACAAATAAAAATTTAAGAAGCTAATATACTAATCTGAATGCCATCACCACCTTCTTCTTCCCTCTTTCTCAGGACAGAGATAGAAAGCTGGCTCACAGCTAAAACATGAAAATGGCTCACAGTACATTGCTTCTAAATGACTTCTTCCAGGAGTCTGATGTTATGCATCTGTTTTTAAATGAAAGATTTCCAGAGTGGCTGGTTTAGTTTCATGAACCCCCAGTTCACCTGTAAGAGAGTAACTGCTATGCAGTCCGGGGACTGGCCAATTGTTTTTATCCATAGAGATAGAAGCTCTTTTTGTGACCTATCTGAGGGCACAGAAGGCATGGCCAGTGTGTCATACTGCTCTTAATGTTTTAGTTCCGTTAGTCACAGCTGCATTCATTTTTATATAATTTTTATTAAAGATTTTTAAAAATGAAGATAGAAATGAATACAAACTAATATAAAGTAAGAAAAAGAAAAGAAAAAGAAAGAAATCAAAGAGAAAGCTAAAAGTAACAAAAAGGAAAAAAGGGGAAAAAATAGAAAAGAAAGAAAAAAGATACAAAGAAGTAGCTTCCAATCTTCTTATAAATTTATCTCTTACTCTATGGTTACAACTTGTCTTCTTTCTATAATCTATCCTATCGAATCATCAAAACCATAAATCATCAGTTCATTTTTTTTCTGTTTTATGCAAAAAGTCCGTAAGGGGTTTCCAGTCAGCAATAAACATAGATATTGTCTTTTCTCTGATCAAAGAAGTCAATTTAGACATCTCAGCAAGTTCCATCATCTTCACCAACCATTCCTTCATTGTTGCTAATGCTGAATCTTTCCATCGTTGTGCATATAATAATCTCAATGCAGATATCATGTACAAAAACAAAGTTCCATGACTTTTTTTCCAACTGTTTATCCATCAGTCCCAAAAGAAAAACCTCTGGTCTCAATTGTATATTAATCTTTAAAATCTTCTGAATCATTGTGTGCATTTGAATTCAGAATTTTCTAGCTTTTTTACACATCCACCAAACATGATAAAATATCCCTTCTTGTTAGTTCATATTTCCAACGTAAATTTGAAGTGCCTTTATACATTTTAGACAGTTTCTCTGGTGACATATACCCATGGTGCATCATTTTATAAAAATTCTCTTTAAGATTATAACATAGTGTAAATTTCAAACCTTTCAATCACATATTTTCAGTCACAGCTACATTCAGATGTGCTTAGGAGAATATACTAAGACCCATTTTAGAAAGGTTCTGTTAATATAAAGGCGCCTTTTGGAAACTTTCCAAAAAGGCAAGATACAGTATAAATAAACTAGCATAAAATATAGGTATGATCAAAATAAAAATATGTGTATTAATTATCAAAATGATCTAACAGACTGCTTAAATTGTGTTATTGAACCTGATGCAGCCTTCTTGTACTCATGTGATATATGTAATAATTGAAATAACATTATTTCTAAGAATAAGATAGAATTGTGTGGGTTTGTAATTGTTGTTACTGGATTAACTGGGTATATCAAATAGATATATCCCCTTTGCTAACAAATATTTGCTTTATTGATTGTGTTAGAACAGTCCTAATATCTGGATATATCAGCCATTGTCTCCATGGAAAGAAAATCAATGCGTGTGCTTTTGCTTTTTGATAATATTACAGAGGGTAAGTAAACAGGTAATACAGACGTGCATATTTTTCTATCCACATTCAGTAGTCTATAACTGTATGTGGAGAGCTGACTTGGCTCACTGGGAGCCAGCTGCTTTGCAAAGGCATTTATGAGTCCTGTTCTCTGCTGATCCTTTTGGCCCTTTTGGCCATAAATAAAACTGAAACTGAAGCTGTTCTCTGCTGATCGCCCACTGCAGTCTGGATTTCATGGTGAGTGACTAGATTCTAGATAAGAGTAGTGACAAACAGCCCTTTAGGTCCTTGGGCAAGGATTTAAAAGGATACCTCTGGACTTTTCCAAATCTTTCTGTTTCTTGGCTTATATTTCATTTGCAAGAAGTATATGTGGTTGAAGTCCCCCATACATACACGCATGCACGCGCACACACACAGAGAATTGTATATTGCCTTCTGAGTGTTATATTTAAATTTTCCTTTCCTTTCTTTTCCTTTCTTTTCCTTTCCTTTCCTTTCCTTTCCTTAGTTCAGTGAAAAATAAATGGCATACTCATTAAGCCCATTGGTTTCTGTAAGAAATATTTAAGTAAGTGCTTAACTCCTGCTGAAATCAATCTCATTTATTATGAAGAATATCAACTACCTACAAGTGGTATCAACCTTCATTTTTGAGTAAAATGAATACAATCAATCAATTAAACAAAAACTCACCATGTAAATATTGCATGGTTATCAGATCTGAGAACAATTAACAGCCAAAGACACACCAATAAATGGGGACAATGTTTAACTTAATCCACTAAACATTCTGCTGTTTATGTGGCCTGTAATCTTCTACCCTTTTACTCAGGAGGAAACTACACAGAATCCATTCCTAAGTAGAAATGTATAGAATTGTGCTTTTAGAGACTAAATTGATTCCACATCACCAAATTAGCCCAGAAGTTACACCTTACATTCTTTGCTTTTTATAGAATACCAAGAAACATGATACTGCCAATTCATTGCATTTCAATATTTTCTGTGGTACAGTGGTACCTCGGGTTACGAACGGATCCGCGGCCATTTTCCGCCATGACACGTGGTCCGCGGCCATTTTCCACCCGTTCCACGTGGTCCGCAGCCATTTTTCCGCGCGTGCCACATGGTCCACGGCCATTTTTCCGCCCTGCCGTGTGGTCCGCGGCCGTTTTTCCGCCCCTGCAGTGTGGTCCGCAGCCGTTTTTCCCCCCCTGACGCGTGGTCTGCGGACGCCAGAACAGATTAACAGTAATTACATTGAACCTTATGGGAAAATTTGCTTCAGGGTGCGACCAATTCAGGGTACGACCAGAGTCACGGAACAAATTAAATTCATAACCCGAGGTACTACTGTACTTTCTAGTCTTGTTGTCAGACTTATCTCTTCACTTACTTTCATCAGACATCTTCTAGTTTTGCAAAATACAATAAACACCTTACAGGAGGAATAGATTGTACAGTTACAGTATATGTATCCTGCAGTATTCCTTCTCTTTCCAAGTCTATGCTGGTTTTGATTGTTGTTACTGATTGCTTGATGTGTTTGAGCTGAATGAGTCTCCTAACTTTTTTAAAGCTGGAAAATTTTCCTTTCTCTACTCATTCACAAGAGTCAGATTTTTCTGTCTTTCTGAACAGCTGCTGCAAAAGAAAAACATGTCTTGGTTCAGTGCTCCATAGAACTACCTTCCTCATTCCTTTTTCAGTTTGTTTAACACAGCTTTAATTGGCCCTCACTGGCACCTTCATATGTATCCAAGACAAACTGTGGTCACGTATCACACTTAATGTATTTTGTACTTTTCATTTCTCCTCTCCAGAACTGAAAAGCTTGGGGTTTCTGGGGGAAAGGAGAGGTAATGGGTATCTAAAGTACGTGGATGATGTCACAGATGTGGTAAGAATACATGTAAGTACAAGACACTTTGCTATCTTGAAAAATAAAAGTTTTACAATCTGTATGCTGGCTGTTTTGAATTGTGAAGAGGCAGAGGTGTTTGTGTTGATTTGTTACTCTGTGTGGATTG